GCAGGGCCGAGCCCCACGGCCAGGTAAGGAGCGGTCGCTCCCTGAGCGCTGCGCTGAGTGTGCCTGGCACGCTGCGGTGCATGCCCGCCCTTCGGGCTCCTCTCCAGCTCCCCGTAACCTGCCTTTTCCCGCCCGGGTTCCAGATCAAATCCCAACAGAGCGAAGTAACCAGAATCCTCGATGGGAAAAACATCAAGTACGAGCTGGTGGATATCTCCCAGGACAATGCTCTCCGGGAGGAGATGAGGGCGAAGGCGGGCAACCCCAAAGCCATCCCACCCCAGATCGTCAATGGAGACCACTACTGCGGGGTAAGGCTCGTGCTGTGCCATGGGGATAAGCACCGCGGAGGTTGGGTGGCGGGCAATAATCCTGTCCCCTTGGTTTTGCTACAAATGGTGTCAAGACGCTTTTTAAAAGGCGTTTCTTGTGAGGTGTATGGCCAAGGGGCTGCCAGGGTTAACAGGCGTTTGGAGCATGGTGGCTTGTAAAAAAACAGGACCCAGGCAGGGGGACTCTGGGTGGGCGTGGGCAGCGGGGCTGTGCTGTGCGGGGCTGCCCCGGCTTCGCTCTGTCGTCCTCTGTGTGACTGTCACCCGTGCTGTGAACCAGTTTGTGCTGCGTGCCCAGGGGACCCCGCGCTGCCTGACCGGCAGGAGCGTACAGCTCGCTCCTGCCTTGCGAGCAACTGCGTGGCTTTTCCCTGCAGGATTATGAGCTCTTCGTGGAAGCGGTGGAGCAAAACACTCTGCAGGAGTTCCTGAAGCTGGCCTGAGCCCTGAGCTCCCCTCCTGTCCTGGACTCTACCTGCATTCCTGAGCACCCTCATCTCCGACCACCTTCACTTCCAGGTTGTCAGCGCTGTCCTGGCACTGTGACCTGTATCCCGGCATAGGGAAACCCATGACCAAAACTACTCATTGCAGCTGCCTACGATTCCCTCCTGCCTAAACCCTGATATCATCTCAGAGGGATCCAAAGAAAGTCTGACGCTTGCTGCGCACGGCCTTCGAATGAAGCTGGGCCTGGCTCACACCGCAGCTTCCAGTGCCTCTGTAAACAGCAAAGCCTCTGGGGCTGTGCGAAGTGCGGCCGGCCGTCAGCCCTCTCCTCCGCAGGGAGAGCTCCTGCTTCAGCAGGGGGGGGGCTTAGGGTTGCGTGTTACTTCCCACTTCTCCCAGTTGCTGTTAAAATTGTAAATCTGCTGCCTCACTTCCCCTTTTTTTTTTTTCATCTCAGCTGCAGAGATTATGGCAACTAAGTTGATTTTTGTTTCTTTTGTTTTAATGCAAGAATACTGCACAAGGCTGGGGTCTGACCACCCGCCGCAGAGAAGGCAGGGGCTGGGGGTGAAGGCCGGTGTCCCTGGCAGGCTGCCTGGGGGGATGGATGGGCCTGGAAGCGGGGACCTGAGCTACTCTGTCTGCCCCCCACTGCGGTGCCAGGGCTCCCTTGTGAGCGTTAATGGCTCAGGGCTGCTCCAGAACAGCTGATGCTCCAGCTGTCTTATCTTTCCTCCTTGAGTTGGCTTTTTTTGTTGCAACCTGGACCAAGTGCATTTTGTTTTCCTGCCAAAAAGCAAGTTTATAACTAGTGTTCTTTTCCGAGATGCTATTAAATGTTACTATACCTTTCACATTGGTACTCGTGGGTTTCTTTTAAATTTGATTTTATTTTGACTACAGGTTAAACGTCACCCTACGTAATGCTTCTGAGTCATTTCCAGCTCAGAGAAGCTGAGTCAGTTGTACTTGCTGCTGCAGCCTGACACAAAGATCTTAACACCTTAGATTGCTGCCGCTAATCAAAGGCTCACAGGACTTGAATATCCTACAGCGCGGTAGTGACAGGTACCTCTCTCGAGCATTCCTCTCCTCTGTGTGGTAAGAACAGCAGCCCCGGGGAGGGATGGCTTCAGCCAGAGACGTGAGCGAAAACCAAACCCCTGGCACAAGGATTACCTGGTCGTTATAGCCCAGGCTGTAGAGGGGCAGTGGAAAAGGCTGCCCTGCAGGAAGGTGTTCTGTACACTCCTGTATCTGCTATAGGTGGAAAAAGGAGGAAACTAACTTAGCGATGTGGGGGTTGAGTCACTGGTCACGGGGAGCCCGTGGAAGCGGCTGGTTTGCATGAGTGGCGCTTCCTGTATTTGAGTTGTGCGGGTCCAGCTCTGGTCGGAGTGGTCCGGGAAGCACTCTGGGCACCTTGCCCCCTTCCACAGCAACTGCGCCTTTGAAATCTTAATGGAAGTGGAACCTGTAACTTAAATGGTTTTATTGGGAGCTTTTCATGAGGGCTGGGTGGCAGTGTGTGCTGAGCCTCTGCTAAAAGGGAACCCGCCAGAAGGTACTGCCTCGCACAAGTGGGAGTGTCGTCAGCTGGGAGTCAAGCGGGAGCTTGTCATGTCTGAAATGGGAAGAATGCGCTGGGGAAAGGGGCCCGCAAAGCATGGCCCCGGCCCACGGGAGAGGGAGGAAGATGCTTTTACTCAGGGTTAAGCAGAGAAGCAGCAAAGGGATTATGCTCTTCTCCAGTGACATGGTGTCCTGTTGCAGCATCCAGCGCCTGGCTGCAGCTGGCTGCGGAGGGAGGGAGGGAGGCTGGCAGCTCGGGGCCCTTGCAGGCTTGGCGTGGCTGCGAGCCTGGGCCCCGCTGGAGCTGGGGGCTGTCCAAGGGAAGGAGTTGTTCACGTACAGGAAACCCAGTAGCAGGATCTCCTGGCTGAGATGAGTCTGGCTCAGTCCCAGCACTGCAATGGCTCAAGGTCTTTTCGTTTAGCTTCACTAGGGCCATAGAAATGAGCTTGTTTCTCCTGTGGTGTAAGTGCAGTTGAAATCTCTGGGGAGCAGCTGTGGGTGGAAAGCAAATCGACCTTGGCTGTTTGTCTGTTCTGCTGCTACAGAGAATCCCTGAGCCCAACTAAGCAACTGCCCGGTACCAGCATAAAGCCGGTGGCCTTTCCTGGGCAGGGATCAGCCTCTGATCTCCAGCAGAGATGAGAAACCGGGCTGCTGGGCCAAGCTGACAGAAATGCCCCTGTGTTAGGAGCCCACCCACCTTGGGGGAAAAGCAGCCACCCATGAGGAAGCAGCACTGGGCTTGGCACCTTCTGCTGAGGGGAGAGGCCAAACCGCTGCCCCTCAGCTCTTCTCTCCATCCCAGGTAACGGCGCAATGAAACTCAATCTGGAAAGACACCCCTCTCCTCTCTTCCCAGCCAGGGGAGGTTATAATGCAGCTAATGGTGCGAGGCAGCTCCTTCCTCTTGCAGAGTCTGGGGCGAGCAGCTCTTGCTAGGAGCTGTTAAGCTGTTTGCAGCCCTGTCCCCTCTTGTTGGGAGGGGTCTCTTCTCCGCAGCAGCAAGGAAGCACTGGGGATCAGGCCACATTCCTGCAGGCTCCTGGAGTTGTCAGTGTACACCCTCTGGGGAAAGGTGCTGATGATCTCATACGAGTCCGAGTCTCCACCCCTAGGAAAGAACAGCACAATCTTTCCTACACACAGGATCCCCCAAGGTTTTGCTGAGATGCTCTGGCTGATCCAGCTGCGGTTGTGTAAGAGCAGAGGGACAGACTGTTTCACAAGCACAGGCTGAGCGGAAAAAAAAAAAAAAAGGGCTTCCCGCCCAAAGTGCAAACAGCCAGGCACAGAGCGGCCATTCCAGGCTGCACAGCTGCAGTGGGGAAGGAGGCTCGTGCATCCCAACAGCAGTGAGCTCATCGTGGGCTCAGACTGAAGCCAGAGCTATGGCCTGCAACAGGAGTGGGAAGAAGGGAGAGCAAAGGGGTCCCCTCAGCCATCTGGTGCTGTCCCTAAAAGGATGTGTGAGCCCTTGGGCAGCATTAAATGTGTTGGGATATAGAGCTGGCTGAGCAAAGGGGGTGTTTTACCAGCAGCAGATCCATCAGCCAAGCTGAAGGCTGCTGCTCAGCTTCCAGGCTGCACCAGCACCTTGGGAATGGTGGCAAGTCAGGCGAGAGCTGCTGAGCAGCTGGAAGGAGGCAAAGGTAGTGCTGGACCTGGGTCAGATGGCAATTTTAAGAGGATAAAAGAGGTTTCTCTCTGCTGCTGTGTCAGCTTTTTGGCAAAGGTGGGTATTAAATGCTCCGAGCTAAGCGTGACCCTGGCAGTGCTGCCCAGAGCATGTGTCTGGTGGTGGAGCTGAAGGAGCAGAGGGTGCCCAGCAGCTCCTGGGGCTGGGACTGTAACCCTCAGCCCTGCCCAGCTCAGCCTGATCTGCCTGAAGCGCAGCCCCAGGGCCCTGCGTGGCAGCTGAGAAACCTTCCCTGGGGCTTGACGGAGCCGGGTGGGGAGCAAGGAGGAAGTCCTAGGCCTACCTGACGTGGGCGAGGTGTTGGCGCAGGTCCCCTATGGTCTCCGTGAACAGCATCCTTATGATGTACGTCTGCTCCCCGCTCTCGGATTTGATGCGGAGAGCGCAGACATCGGGGGCAGAAGCTTCAGCCTCTTCAGCCCTCTTCACCCTGGAGGTGAGAAAACCTCTTCAGCTGAGGAGCGAGGGCTCTGCCAGTGGTGGAGGCTGTGCTCTACTCAACGGGCAGAGCCTCTGGGCTGCCAGGGTGCTGCAAACAGGGGAGAGGTGTTTCACATTTGGGAATGTCCTGGAGGTGAATGAGGCCCCATCTGACTGCGGCCGAGCAGACCGACCCACGGACCAAGCTGCTGCTTTGCTTTCCCTGCTCAAAGGTGCCTTGGAAAGAAGGTTGCTGACCTTTTTTAGCTTTTTCATTTTAGATCAGGGCTGTCTGGTAAGTACTTCGCCCTACTTCTTTGATTAAAAATAATCTGCTTGGGGTTTTTTTTTCATTAGCTATTTGGGTCTTGTCTTGCTAGAAGACTATGAGTGGAAAAGTGCTGTTAGTATGATCTCCCACTTGGGCATCGGTTTCCTGGAGGGATTCTCCCATTTAACATGACTGCAAACAGCTTCTTAGATGGTTTCAAACTCTTAGGCCTTGGCTTGCTGTCAGGAAAAGTATTTCACAGCAATAAGTAAGCAATGTTTTGAAAGACAGTTGTTTTTGTTAGAGTTGTAGAAGATGGCAGGTTTACCGTGAACAATTCAGTGGTCTCCCCAAAAGACCAACCTTGGCTTTTTTTTTTTCTCCTTCACTCTTTCTAAGGTATAAAAGGGGCAAGTCCATTTATGTCCTCAACTGAAACCCCTGAAATAACCCCAGAGTGATGAAACAGGAGGAAGATGAGAGCCTGACAGGGCAGGGGTCGGGGGGCTGTGCCCGTACCTCTCCAGGGCAGACAGCCTGGGTGTCTCCACCAGGATCCCTTTGCTGCTCCACACCCCACCAGAGCCCTGAAACCAAACCAGGTGAGGGTCACCGCTGCCTGCCCTGCGCGGAGAGCAACCAGCGCCGGGAAGGCCCCGGAGCAGGTGCCAAAGTGCCACGTGTGCTCTGGCAGAGCCTCTCCGGGAGGAGGAGGCTATGCAGAGCTGGGAGAGGCCCGAGGAGGGGGTGCCGGCGCTGTGCAGGGCACTGAGCCCAGGGAATTGCTGCTGGCCTCATCCTGTGGGTGTCTGGGGGGTCCGCTCATACCTGCCGTGCTGCTTTGGCCGAGCCTCGGACACTGATCACTTCTCCTCTGTGTTTGAAGGGCTTGGGAAACTGCTCCAAGGAGACTTTGGGACCTGACAGAGCAGAGGGGAGCTGTGTCTGTGTGTCACCTTTTTGACAAAGGATTTTCCCCCAGAACAGGCTGATTTGGTGAAGTAAGAGAGCGCAACAGCCGACAGGGAGAGCTCTAACCTCCCCGAGCTAGGCTGAGCCTGCCTCTCCATCTCCCCCGTTGAAGCTTGTCCCGCTTTCTGGCTCATGACATGTTTGATTGTCAACATCAACAGTGAGCAACTGGGGTGCACAACGGGTAGAAACCTGGTTAGCCCTGCTGTGAACAGCAAAAACTGAAACTATGACCATTTTTACAGACTTGGAAAATTTTTTATCTTGTGAAGGCGTATTTGTAGGTGTCCATTCCTTTTGTTGTGGCATCACTGGACAATTATTTTACTGCATGGATAAGGGAAACATTTAGCACAGCTTCTGCTTGTGAATGGCCTTGAGATGACTGAGCAAGTAGTGTGGTTTTATAAAAATAGGAAGATGTTGCTGATGGGCCATGCACGTGTTTGGGTTATGTAGTTATGCATACACAAAGCCACTATTTTCTGTCTATATGACTGACTGCATTTGA